TTAGTTCTAGGTGTGTTTAGGTATATATATATCATGTCAAGATATTGTTTCCATGTAGAATTTCATCAGAATAAGGAAACTGGCTCATTACAGAAAATTTGGCCCATGCTCGCACACCAATCAATGATTTTGCTCTCAGGTTGGAGAAAAAGAGGTGGTGTGCACGCGCCATTGCTTGCCCCCGCGTGCATCGTTGCTTCACGCGTCGTCCTAGACAGCTCTCGATAATTTAGTTATAACTTTCTCTCCCAAATTTTTATTGAGGTGATTCAAAGTGCATTGAAAATATGACTTTAAAATATACAATTCTTCTTGAAATACATGTTTTCCAAATCGATCGTTTGCTACTCGAAAAATGGGTCTCAAACTAAGACTTGATATCTGGAGCATAACTTCTTCGGCTGGAAATTGATTTGTAAAAATGTTTTAATTCTATTTCATTTCTTTGACCTCCAATTTCATCCAATTGATGTCATATGATCTTCAATCATCGTTTTGTGATTCAAATCAACTATTGGATGTTTACACTTTGGTCCCCAAACTTTGGAATTCCTTCTATTTTCGCACGTTTTTTGTTCTTTTCTTCCAAATCCACAAATTTGCATTGATTTCAACCTAATAACATAATTAACACGAAATTAGGCTATAACTCATTCAAATTACTAATAAATATCCTAATTTAATTGCCTAAATAAGTATATAAATACACTTATCACCCTCCACAAAGGAAAAAGGGCAATTCATCAATTATAATCATCCTAATTAGATATCTTCTACATTCTTCTTTATTATACACTGATGCTATAAGATCAAACATGCCACCATCACCATTACTACCATCATCTCTTTGTCAAGTTAAGGTCTTTTGTTGGTCACCAAACTGAATAGTCTTATATGCATGACAACTATCCAAATGCTTCCACATACTAGAAGTTTTACCTTTTGAATTACTTTGAAGGACTTTCCTAGAATAATTGCATTTCGATGTTTTTCCATCACCTACCTTAGTAAATCTCAACCAAATTACCGACATTGCCTTCGTTTTCTTTTTAGTTTCAGGTGTCTCGTTATACATCTGCAAAAAAAATAAATTATTTTGTTACAACTTATAAAAGATGTAATTTGAAGAGGAAAAAAATAAGAAAGGCACACCACAAATTTTGTTGTTGAATAGAAAAAAATAAAGGCACAACTAAATAAGATAGACTTTAAGAAAAATTGAAATCAACTAGATTTTAAATAAGTAGAGCAAAGTATTTTATTTTTGGTAATATCCAGAGAACACAAAAATGATACATTCTTTACCTTTGCAAAGAAGCAACAAAGCCAAGAAAATATGGGGACCCAAAAAATAGAGTTTTTTTTTTTATGTAATAATATCAATACTCAAGAAAAATTCAAATAAAGACTTGAAGATAGCATGATAGGCAAGAATAAGTGTGTATTGCAGAAGTTACAAAATTTACCTGTAGTGCGGCGTAAGAGACGAAGTCATTGTTTGACGAGAAGAAAACACAAAAATGGAATTGGGAAAGAAGGGCGACAGGGGATTCTAATATTTTTACAGGTTTGGTATTGGGCTATGCCAAAATTGGTTTTAGGCAAGATATATGTATTTGGACTTAGGTAAATAAAATGGGCCAAAAGCTTCGGATTGAATATTTTCTTTGGGTTGAATTGAGCAGCCTATTTAGTGTTTAAATTATAAATATTAAATTTTATAATTTTTTATGCAATATGTTGATTATTAAAATTATAAAAAAAATTGGTTCCATTCAGTTACCCACAATTCCAATTCAAGAACCAAAAATTGACCTAAACCCACTCGATTCTCGATTTCGGTTCTTTTTTTTTTTTCTTTTTATAGAACTGATCGGGAGAATCAGTTCCGGTTAAAATGCCCACCCCTAGTTTAGAAGCCCAAGAGAGAAAGTATGGGGTAAAGTTGTTATATAATAGTTTTTATTTAACTAATTGGGTAAATAGCACAAAACATCCATACCTTTCAATGTTATTGTGCAAAACGTTTATATCTTTCATTTTTTGACATTTTCACACCTATTTCCACATTTCATTGCGCAAAAGATCATTTTCATCAATTTTTCGATAAAAAAGATGATTTTACTCTCCCATTCAAATAAAACAAAAATAAAAAGAACTAACTGCAACAATAGTTTCAATTTTTGAAAAAATTACAAATTAATCACAAATATATAATTAAAAATCAAAACTAAAAATGGATGAAAATGACTGAATTCCAACCAATGTACAACCACCAATGCCAGGAAGCCTACCCATTCAAAAGAAAAGCAAAAGTTGAAGCGAGATCAACTGTTGACATTGTGAGGAGAAGACCAGGGTCACTGCAAGAGAGCAGCACCGACTGCGAGATAAACACCGTCCTAAGAAGAGCGCCATCGCGAACTCGGCCCTAGAAGGTGGGTGGAAATCTAACATTGCCGCTTGAAGAAACGTAGTTAGCAATTTCAACATTACACGACAAGAAGTTAGGTTCTTTTGATAGGGTCGGATTTTTTATTGTTTCTAGCAATGGTTTCGCTGCTGTGGTGATGGTTTTAGGTTGATTTTGTGATTGTTAGTTGGTGGTGGTTTTCGAATGTTGGTGATGGTGCTTGCGGTGATGATGACTGAGATGGTGGTGGTACTAATAGTGGTGGTGGCGGTGCTGCTGCTGCTGACGGTAGTGATGCAGGCAATAGTGGTGGTGTCACGAAGCTGGTTGTGGTGGTTGTCACAACAATAATTTATGAATTGGTTGGAAATGGGTTATAATCGGGTTGGGCCGGGAGTTGATTTTAGGGGAAAAAAATCATATTTCAAGTGTATTGTTTACATCAATTCAAAAGCTAGGTCAATAGTTCAAAAGTTCAAAATTCAGGTATGTATAAAATTTAATTAAAAATATTTATTAATTAAATATAATAAAATCATGATTATACAATTAACGATCACAGATTCATAATTATATGTCACTAATTTATTTTCGAGGTCACAAATTAAAAATTTTGTAGGTTATAAATTATTCGAGGTCACAGATCAAAAATTTTATAGGTCGCATATTTTTTTAGTCACAGATTATCAAATTTTAAGGGCACAGACCAAAATCGGGCACAGACCTAAATCGTTGAAGTCACAAATTAATTTTTTAGTCACAAACACAGACCAAATCGTTGGTCATATATACCAAATACTCCACTCCACTCCTGAATCCAATCCATCACCAATGCTTGGTCACAGAGCAACCAAATGGTCACCACTACCACTACCACTACCAACAACAATGTCGCCATCAGTAGATCCAACACATTGCCTACAAAAATCACCACAACTACCACCATCAAATCCACTGCCATCGCCACCACCACTGTAACCACTACCGACACCATTTTGCAACAGTACAATCACAAAACACCACCACAAAGAGATCCACCAGTTGTCACCACTACCGTCTGTGTTTGACCTAGATCCATCGCACCGTCACCGAATACACCACACATAATCGCAACATGCCGCCACCAATACTAAAACCAACACCACCTCACGAGACTGCCAAGATCAGCACCACCACAACCATCACCAACAACCACAAAACACAACCAACGAAACCAAGAGATAAAATGGCCGCTTGCCACCACCAATACAAACACCTACCTGCCTCTACCTTACACCACTCCCAAAATTCGGAGCCACTAGATCAAAGTTCGAACGGTACAACACATTTAAATCTTGCAACGTCGCTCATCAAACGGTACTGGCAGAGTCGCGCAATGTACTAGATCCATCACAGTGGTTCTCTCGGTTGCAATAGAGAAGAGGAGAAAAGGTAGGATGCATCGGCTTCATCGACGGTGCTCGACTCTTACATCAACGCGGGGCCTTGAAGTTGCGCTCGACTGTGTCCTCGACCGTGGGTGCTCCTCAACAACGATGTCCATCTGTGAGAGAGAGAGAGAGAGAGAGAGAGAGAGAGAGATATGAAGAGAGAGGAGAGTGGAGAGGATAGAAGAAAAATGATAGTGTACACCACCAGCGACGGGTGCTCCTCATTCCTCAAGGCGGCAGGTGCTGTGAGAAGTGGAGAGAGAGAGAGAGAGAGAGAGAGAGAGAGAGATCAAAATGATAAGGTTTGTGGGGAATTATTTGGGTATAAAATTTAATTATTAATTTAATACCTGAATTTTGATTAAAACAACTTTGTACTTGACTTTTGCACTTGGAAGTTGAAATACTTGTGTTTTTGTAATTTCCACTTGATTTTAATTATATGTTTTTTATTAATTTGTAATTTTTTGAAAATTTGGGATTATCGTTGCAATTAATTCTTTTCTTTATTTTTTTTATTTGAATAGGAGAATAAAATCGTTTTTTATTGAAAAATGGATGAAAATGATCTTTTGCACAATGAAATGAGAAAATATTTGTGAAAATGTCTAAAAAATGAAAGGTATGAACGTTTTGCTCAATAATATTGAAAAGTATGGATGTTTTGTACTAGTTATACACATAAATCTAAATTTTTTTCTACATTTTAATAACACATTCTGTTAAAAAATACTATTTAATTTTTTATTATAAGAATAATGGTTGTCAAATTGAAGCTAAATTAGTCAATAACTTCATGACAAAATATAATGAAAATAACTTGAGGTGAATTTTTTTAATATTTAAAGGCTAAATCCTTAAACTAAGCGTTCAAATACCTTGGAGAGAATGAACCTTTTGAAAGACCGAATATGCACATAATCCGAAAACAAATTAGGTTCATGAATCGTGGGATAAATGAATGCTATCGGGATATTAATCAAATTTCATATCCAAATAAAATTATTGTTTGAAATAGATTATTAATTTTGACTCAAATTTTTTTCTACTTTTTTAACCTTTACTACGCGGGGGTCTTTTTTTAATATATAAGAAATAGATAAATAAAAATAATAATCTTTGTTTCAGCTTGTTCATAAGTTAGGTTTATTTAATTTTTTAAGCTTAGCCAAGCTAATTCAAACCAAAATATATTCCTTTTCCCTTTTTCCTATTTTAAATTATCCTCCAAGAATTTAAGCTGCCAACTTCTCTTATCTCTTTCCTTCAACAGTTTGCTCGCCAGAGAGTGGGAAAGAGATGATGAGTTTCTGCACCCAAATTTCGCTCAAAAATCACACCATCTTGAAACCCAACCAAAATCCTCTTCTACTGACAGATTCTACCTTACTAGTGCGAGTTTCTTGTACCAGAAAAAGAAATTGCTTAAATACAACAAGGGCTTTACTTTCTACTACCAAAGAGACTGTTTTGAGGGATTTCCATGAAAAAAGAGCTCTAAAAGTAAGTAACAATTTCAAAACCAGTACTATGTTGCTGCTTTTTAGATTTTTTTAATGGCTTAAGCTTTTAGATAGTGTCTTATCGTCCAAGTGCGCGCGTGAATTTGGAGCACAGGTTTTCGCGTAGAAAGCATAATTAGAATTGTAAATAATTTTTTCCCATTTATGGCAGTTTAAGCTTTTTAATCGACGTGGATTTACACAAAATTATTCGTTTTATATGTCAAATTTGGTGTCTTCGAGCTTTGATATTTCCTTAACTAATAAACAATCTGGCAGTAGATAATCTAAAATCTAGGGCCAGGTTTGGCATACTGGATCAGACCTTTATAAGAATTTGGTATAAAATTGTCCTGAATGTTATTAGATAGAATGCATTATAGTGGATTAAGTTGGATAGTATCATGTTTATTTTTATTAAAAAGAATGTCATTTACTATATCTTCCTTATCCGGCCTAAGCCCACCTCCAAACTCCGTATTATGTTACACGGTTGATAGGCAAAATGACTATCTTTTGAATGGAACATTAAATAACACTATCCACCGTAATCCACCATAATACCATATACACATTAATATCCATTATAATTTTATACTAAATTTCCTATACAGCCTAATTGGTGTACCAAACATAACCTAGATGAAAAGCATTACTCTTAAGTCTTAACTACTTTATGTGACGTTGTGTTTCTATTTTTACAGATCATTTCAGGCTTACAGAATTTGGACAGAGATAATGTTGCTTCTGTTATTACCGCTGCAGATAAGGTTGTTTTCTTATCATCCTGTGACTTAAGTTGTTGATGATTAGGTTGTCGAGGGATAAGTGTATAGCATGGTTATGCTCCATACGTTCGTGCTATATACAGACTTCTCGTTATTTTTTTAATCTATGTTGCTTCCCCCAACTTATTGTTTTCTATTTCTACTCACACCTACAGGGAGGGGCAACTCACGTGGATATTGCCTGCGACCCAGAGTTGGTGAAGCTTGCAATTAGCTTGACTTCTCTTCCGGTATAAACTCCACCAACAAATCCATGCACTAAATTTGACGAGTTAGTATAAATTTTGGGATTCTTCATGTTATTTAAGATAATGGCTTTGTCCGACTAGCTGATTAGCCTGTTTAACAGATCTAGGCTGCTGGTGGAGTTATAATGAAGGCATTGGTTTTTATTGCATAGTGTTTTACCTATGTTCCTGTTCTAGTTACTTTCCAGCCTTTCATATACTCGTTCTCTCAAGTATGTTTTTAAACTATAAACCACAGAATATGATGCAAGTCATCACTTTAGGTGCCAGATTCTAATAGGATAGTTGATCTAGTTTGAGAGTATCAAAATTTCTACTTAGGTTACTTATTCCTAGCCTTTGCAGGTTTGTGTTTCTTCTGTAGATCCGATGGCATTTCCAGCTGCTGTTGAAGCAGGAGCCTTGATGGTGGAAATCGGAAATTATGACTCATTCTATGAGATGGGCTTGACTTTCTCACCAGAGCAGGTATCGGGCTTAGGCTGGTTTCGATACAGAATTCTGTCTCTTTATTTTGCAATACTGCAACTACACTGTTGAAAAAGATCTGGCTTCAGTAAGCTGTTTATCTAGTTCCAGGATTCCAAAATCTTCGGTGACTTTTGAATGCAGGTACTGAAATTAACAAGGGAAACTAAGAGGATTCTTCCATCCATCCCGTTATCAGTCACAGTGCCTCATACACTAAGCCTTCCTGACCAGGTTTTGATCTGTACTCTAAAATGAGATTACAAGTTGAATCCAAGACATTTCTTGTGTAAATGACTAAGTTTACATAAACAAATATCCCTCATTTCTAACAGTTTAAATTTTAGTTAAGATTTTTCTAACATGTGATTGATTATGTACATTTTTCACTGACAGATCAAGCTAGCAGAGCTGTTAGAGCAAGAAGGTGGTGACATTATTCAGACCGAAGGTGGAAAGTATTCTAGTCCATCAAAGGCCGGTATCCTTGGGCTAATCGAAAAGGTAACATATGTAAATAATCGAACTTCATTAACCTAATTATACAGGAGTAATGTGTTTTCAATACCCTTCGAATGAACGTTTTCTTTTCACTTATGTATATCTTGTAATAGTATTCCTTCAATAATGTTTCATCTACTTGGTACTCCAGGCAACCCCAACACTTGCAGCAGCATATTCTATTTCTAGGGCAGTTAGGATGCCGGTAATGTGTTCATCTGGATTAAGCTCAGTCACAGCACCAATGGCAATCGCAGCAGGAGCTTCAGGCGTGGTATGGATTTGTAACTTGCTCTTATCAAACATATTATCTTTGTTGCATTTTAGGATTAATGCAGACACTTATTAATATCTCTGTGATAATGGTTTACAGGGTGTGGGTTCAGCAGTAAACAAACTCAACAACGTCGTTGCAATGATTGCAGAGGTGAAAAGCATAGCTGAGTCATTTGCATTTTCAAACTCGAAAAGAGATGCATCTGAAGAGAGCAATTTGAGACTATGATCAGATGGAGTCTCTAAAGGAATGGATTTTAAGAGATCTCAAATAGGGTTTGGCTGTGAATGGGATCTTGAGAAGATCTTAAAAGGCCGTTTGATACAAGGAGAAATATAACACATCTAAATTCTTGATTATATTCCTTACGAAACATGCCATTAAGTCGAATTTCCTTGTAGCAATAACACGTTGTAATGAACATCCCTTGAGCAATCCCAGAGTGATATTTTCTATTTTTGGTGAATCAGACTCGTTAACAAGGATCGAGTAAACATCTAAAGTCCGACACAAATTCAACTGTTTTTGCAATGTTTAGACAAGATTAGATCCTCGATGGCTAGCTTTTCACAAAATATTTGAATATTTGGTGTCACCTTCAAATAAATTCACGATTTGCTTGTTACATAAAAAAGAAACCTTAAGAATAACGTACAGAAATGATACAGATACGGTGCAAATTTGTATGGAATGAATTCTTATATTTCTTCTATTCATCAAAGTCTGAATAGTCCTCGAGTTCATCAAACTCCCCAGTTTCCTGCAAAATTTATCCTTGTTACAGTAAAATTGATGATGTATATATTTCCGACTTCCATACGTGCGGCATAAAGACACTCGAGAAAGAAGGCGTGCAGAGAAGATCATTTTTCTTTTCTCAAACTCTGCCATTGCTCTATGCTCACTTTTCTGTAGCAATGTCATAGTATTGCAACTCTTCCTGCAATGAGCAAATCAAAAGACGTTCTTAGAAAAAAAAACATTCAACTTGTAAAATTGGACTTGCCACTGCCGTCTTGAACACCCCAATATTCCTAAATGCAAAAATTTGGCAGCTAAATCATTCACCACTGCAGATCATCAAGCCAAATGAAAGACCATAACCATCCTTCACAACTAGCCTGATCCTCCCATTCCCAGGGTCTATAAAGCGTAGGCGTTAAGGCCAAATTTCAAGCTTTCACCTAAGAGTAAAAAAGAGTTTTCTTACTTTTAATATTATTTTAATTAATATGAAACTATAAATAAATAAAATAATCCATACCATGTTGGGTTTGCGACCCAAATTAGGGTGGATTTTTTGTGGAAATAAATTGTTTTTTTTATTTTCATGTGGGAAAATTTGTTTCCTTATATTTTACGTGATTTTTATGAAAATATATTATTTTCTTATTCCACATTATTTTCATCTTTATGCTATGCCATGTACCAATAAATAGTGATCTTCTCTTTTAGTTTTGTTAAAATAAGAATTGTGGAGTTCTTGTATTTTTCTTTATATTGTCGATTAATAAAACGTTGTGCCTCTACGATTAACTCTCCTTATTAATTTCTTTACTTTTAAATCTTGTTTCTCGTTGCGATCTTCATTATTTCATATCGCGTCATTAATTTCATTCACTACAATCATTTCAAGTCTAACAAGGGGTATCAGAGCTTGGTTTTTATTGTGGATTGGTGGAGATTTTTCAGAGATGGCTGCTTTGAAATATGATATTCCATAATTTGATCGCAATACAAGATTTTCTTTGTTGCAGGTAAAGATGAGAGCTATTTTGGCGTAGTTGGATTTGGATGATATGTTACTAGATTTTGAGAAGATGCCAGCTACTTGAATAACGGAGGAGAAAGAACAGAGGGATCGGAAGTCTTTGTCATTAATTCATCTTCATCCATTCAACAATATTCTGCAGGATGTCTTGAAGAAGAAAATAGCAGCTACTTTGTGGTTGAAACTGGAGCAGTTATGTATGAACAAGAGTCTTGCTAGTAAATTAGCTCTAAAGTAGAAGTTGTATTCCCATCGCATGGCGGAAGGAGAGTCGTTGGAAGACCATATTGCCGTATTCAAGGAAATTGTTGCAGACTTGAAAACATTGGAGGATAAGTACAATGAAGAGGATCTTGCCTTGATCTTGTTATGTTCGCTGCCTGACTCATATGCGTCGTTTCGAAACACCATTTTGTATAGTCGGAATACTTTGACTATAGATGATGTCTATGATACTTTGTACTTAAATGAGAAGTTAAAGCATTTGGTTGGAACTACATTGAGGGATGAGGAAGTTTTTATATCTCATGGAAGTCAATGAAGAGGTAGATCGAAGAATAAGAACAATTTATTTTGCTTTTACTGCAGACATAAGAGATATATTCGGAAGGATTGTGATAAGTTACGGGCTAAATGTAATTTAGCTACAAATCATGGAGCGCAACCTTTGACTTCAAATGAAACAAATGTAGTTGAGAATTTTTTAGATGGTGGAGATGTGATGTTGACTGTGGTATCTAACGAGGAGTGAATTCTCGATTCGGCATGTTCGCATCATATGTGTTCCAATCGAAATTTCTTTCAGAGATATGAAACTATTCAGCAAGGTAGAAATGTAATGGGAAACAACCAGTCTTGTCGTATTGCTGGGATAGATCGAGTCAGATTTAAGCTGCGAAATTGGAAAACTAGAACAATTGATCTTGTTCGACATGTTTCAGACCTGAAAAGGAATCTCATCTCACTTAGTATTTTGGATGCAAAAGGGTATAAATTCTCTTGTGGAAGTGGAGTTTTGAAGGTCCGAATGGGTGTCCTAGTTGTATTGGAGGGACAGAAGAAGTCTCAGTTTGTACATCTTGCAGGAAAGCGCAAAACCAGTTAAGAGATATCGGGACAAGTTTAGTACTATGATGGATGTTCAGTTTGGAATAGTATCTCTTGTGACGAGCTCTGGATCGATTCAAAACATTTCTTAGGGGAGCATTGGTGATTCCACTTTGCTACAATTTCAGTGGACACACTGTGTTCATTTGCTAAGGTTGAACTCATGGAACATATGTACCATGATGTCAATAATATCTGGGATGCTTTTGGGGATGTTGAAGGTGACAATTATAACAATGGGCTTATTAATTCAGCATGTGGTATGGTTTCTGCTACAGGGGTGTGCTTCGACCCTGTTTGCCCAATAATAATTCATTGCTGGAATTTTGGGAACTCGGTATTTGGGTTCAGATGTTGCTTGTTGACGCATTGCAGAGGACAACGATTTAGTTTGGAGAGTTTTGGTTCCTCTGCTGAAGAGATTAGCTATTTCGTTGTATACAAATTTGAAATCTTGGAGTTTCATTCGTTGCATCGAAATTTGGGTCAAGGTCGAGATTGTTAGATTTGTGATCCAAATCAGGGTGGATTTTTTTGGAAATAAATTGTTTCTTTATTTTTATGTGAAAAATTTGTTTTCTTATATTTCACTTGATTTTTATGGAAATATATTATTTCCTTATTCCACATTGTTTTCATTTTTATGCTATGCAATGTACCTATAAATAATGATATTTTCTTTCAATTTTGTTAAAGTAAGAATTGCTAAGTTTTTGTATTTATCTCCATATTGTCGATTAATAAAATGTCGTGTATCTACAATTAACTCTCTTTGTTAATTTCTTTACTTTTAAATCTTGTTTTTTGTTGAGATCTTTATTATTTCATATCGTGTCATTAATCTCATTTATTACAATCCTTCAGAGTCCAACATACCAATCACCTAAAAACATAACTGCTATTATTATTTAATAATTCTTACAAATATGCAATTTCCAAGTTTTCAAAAATTAGAGAAATTTCAATTATACCATAAGGTACTAAACTATAGTTTAATGGGCCAAAACTTCAAATGCTACATTAAATATTAATTGAGAAAAATTCATAAATAAGAGGTTAAGTATCACCCATTTTAGAACTAAGAACAAATGTTTCAAATTTCAAAAATCAGATATTTATTAAAATTATATATGGTTTAATTAATTAATTATATATTTTATTAATTAAATATATTAAGGTCACATATCTATACAATTTTTTTTTTATCAAAAATTAAAGATTTATTTAATCACATAATATTTTTGGTCACAAATAAAAAAAAATCAGAATTTTTATATTTCATAAATTATTTTACGGTCACAAATAAAAATTTTTATATGTTACAATTTGTTCATCAGTCACAAATAAAAAAATTATAAGTTACATTTTATTTATCGATCACAACTTACAATTATAATAAGTCACAAATTATCAAATTATCGGTTACAAATTAACAATTTTGTAGGTTACACATTTTTTTGACCACAATTTATCTTTTTCATTGATCGCATATTATTTATTGGTCATGGATTAACCAATTTAATGGTCACAGTTAATCTAATCATTTGTGACAACCATCAACACTTGTGACTACCATCTCACCATTGCCATCAACCTAATCGTCATAGCCAGAATCACCATCATGACATCCCATCGTACCCACCACAACCACCGCTAAACCACCCCTATTCCATCCCCTCCACACCCATAATCACTATACCCATTGCCATGATCGCCGCCGCTAGCACATAATCAGACCTTGCAAACCACCGCCATGACAACTACCATACACCAAAGCGACGCAAAATTACATAACAGCAACCACAATACCACGACATACCATAGCAACTGAAAAATGACCCTTGACCTAATATTTGTGACATGTGACCTATCACTACCACCTACACCACTAGATATGAACACAACATTTGACACACTCTATAAACACGTGACCATTGTTGTCGTCACCATAAACCACCACAAATTGGTTCAAAAGCCCCCACAAATCCGTTGCAAAGACCATAAAACCATTGCAAACCACCACAAATTCAATTTTGTGACTGAAATCTAATAAGCCTCATTGGCCAAACTCCACCACTACTCTCCCCAACCACAATAAAACCATTGCAGGCCACCACAATTTCAGATTTTGTGACTGAAATCTAATAAGCCTCACTGGTCGGACTTCACCACTACTCTCCCCGATTCCCATCTTAATCTCCACATCCACTCACTCCATGCTGGAGAGTGGAGACCTTGATGCCATGCCTCAGTTGCACGAGGCAACATTGTGTCTCCGATGCCATTGTTCATATCCACTCATAGAGGCGCAGTTGCTGTCAGAGAAGAGAGAGGAGGTTGATGACATTCTCTGTGCAAGGCAACGCTTCCTGACATCATTTGGATATGAAAAATCAAAGGCCCTGTATCGCTGGAACGGTGGTTTCATCGCTACTGTAGCAACACTCACTCCACAACGATGGCTTCATCGTCACAACGCTCTCACAGAGTGAGTAGTCAATCGTCGGAGAAAAGATCAAAATTGGGGGGGGGGGGGGGGGGGGG